GCCTCATCTTTCTCCCTTGGAATGTAGTTTCAAACTGCTGGCCTTGAGGTTAGCAGCCTGAATCGTAACCACTATGCTACCAGATGCCATCTACTAGGAGTCCTGGTGTGGCACTGTGGACTAACGTGCTGAACTACAAGATTGCTTTGAACCACAAGGTTGGCAGTTTAAGCTCACCAGCTGCTCCTTGGAAACTCTATACAGGGTCACTATGGGTCAGAACCGACTTGACGGCATTTAAGAATAACAACAACAACAACAACAACTAGGACTTTGCCCTGGAGAACTGATCACTTAGTGGGTTACCTGTTTGACAGCTCACCTCAAGGTCAGCAGTTTGAATCTCACCAGGAGAATTTCTGCTCCTGTTAAGATTTATAGCCTTAGAAATTCTATACAGGCTTGCTATTTGAGCTGGACCCGACTCCATAGAACACAGCTAGCCAGCCAGAACTTTGCCTGGAGATGCAAACGTTGAGACCTCGACTAGAGACACACTTCCATAAAGATTGTTGTTGTTGTTGAGTACGGTGGAGTCGGTTACGACTCATAGTGACCCTGCACAGGGTTTCCGAGGCTGCAAAACTTTACAGGAGCAGAAAGCCTCATCTTTCTCTCATGTAACGGTAGTTTCAAACTGCCGACCTTGAGATTAGCAGCCCAATTCGTAACCACTACGCTACCAGAGCTCCTTAAGGCCCAGAAAACTCTATGAGCCAGCTCTACTCTGTCTTAGGGGGTTGCTAGGAGTCAAAAATGGACTCAAGGCACCTAATAAGAAGAACAACACAAAACTAACTACAGCAAAAAAGAGGAATTTGTAATAGAATAAATACTTTTCAGTGCACAGTCAAAATTAAGTATTTAGCTAAAATATCTTCTCTTCAGTGGACTGTCACAAAACATTTATATTCCAAAGAAGCAGATTATGGAGGGGACAAAACCTGGCAAGGAGACAAATTTTTAGAGAGTGCAAAGACAATTGTTTTGAAGGAGGCATTGTATTCAGGTGGCCTGGCTGGCTCCTGTAAACAGCAGGCTATGTAAGTAGGAAATCAGAACCCATTGTGGGTCAATAAAATGAATGTCTTTTCAACTAAACAGATGGCTATCAGTCTCACAGAGCCGACTCATGTTCCTTTTGGCTGGTCATTTCCTTTACTGAGTGTCTGTAAGAAACACCCTCTTGGATGTTTCTCAGGATTATAGGTTTTTAGGTCAAACAGAAACCCTGGGGAACGCCTGGAAAAGGCAAACACAAGCAGTTCTATTGTGCAGAGACTGGACGACATCAGCTCAACAGCTGTCGTGTGTGTAGCGGAGACTTCTGTGCCCAGAGCATACGGGATCCTGCTCTCCTCTGTCCACTAGCAGCAAATCACAGTGGTTAGTCTGGTGAAGACCTTTATTCTTAAGGAGCTTGTGTTGCTGAAGGTTTTCTGGTGGATTTCAGAAGACTGACCAGTGGGCATTCAATGCTTTTCCTCTTTGTTATCCTCAGGCAAGTCCACAATGGGTGAGAAACCGGAGCCGCTTGCCATGACAGTCCATCTCCTTGCCAACTCTGGCCATGGCTTGATTCTGCAACGGACTCTGGACCAACTCCTAGATGGCATTTTTCCAGAGGTCCGCCTCTTTCTGGTCTCAGAGAGGGTCAGCCCCGTGAAATCCTATGAGAAATACCACCCTAAGCGTTCCCGGTTCCCAGGGATGTCTGTTTTGTTATTCCTGCATGAAAGCCTTGGTGAGGAGCGGATAGTTCGTGTTCTCAACTCCCTTCAGCATTCGCCTTGGCAATATTACCCCATCCAGAATGTCCAGGGAAGACTATGTCCTTCCCTTCTGGCCAACCAGGAGTTCTACAGTCTGGACCAGCAGATGCCTGTCTGGGGAGTGAGGCAGGTGCACTGTGGTTCTGAGATCCTGCGGGTGACTCTCTACTGCGACTTTGACAACTACGAGGATGCCATCAGACTCTATGAGATGATCTTACAGAAGGAAGCCACCTTGCAGAAGAGCAACTTCTGTGTCTTTGTGCTCTACTCCACTGCAAGCTTTGCTCTGCAGCTCTCCCTGAAACAGCTCCCTCTGGGAGTGTCAGTGGACCCCAAAGAGTCTTCAGTGCTACAGTTCAAAGTTCAAGAGATCGGCCAGCTAGTGCCTCTTCTGCCCAACCCATGTATCCCCATCAGCAGTACCAGGTGGCAAACTCAGGACTATGATGGCAACAAGATTCTGCTGCAGGTATTTCGGTCTTGTCTCTGGGAATTGGGTGAAGCACTTGGAACTGTGCAGTTTCACATGTTGTTGTTATTGTTGTGAAGTGCCATCGAGTCGGTTCCGACCCATAGCGACCCTGTATATATGAGCTTGAACCGCCAACCTTGCAGTTCAAACAGCTTTTCAGTCTGGTACATTAACCCACAGCACCACACAAGTGCAAGTTGAGAGATTAGTAAATCTAGTGGGTTGTGCATTAGAATCTCCAGGGAAGCTTTAAAAAATATTCATTTCATGCCTGCACCCCATGCCAGTTAAATCAGAATACCTGGGGGCAACTCAAGCGTCGGTATTTATTAAAGGCTTCTTGGATTATTCTAATTCATAGTAAGGTTGAGTGTCACAGATATAAAAAAAGTAACAAAATCAAAAAGCTGTCATTTAGCAGATAAGGAAAACCAAATGCAGGGAGCTTCTGGCTTACACAAGTAGTTTGTAGTTTTTTCTGAAAATACTCCTTTTCTCAGATTTTCTTTTTACGATGCTGTCCAGATCATATCAGACCAGACCAGTTACCCTGGAGTTGATCCTAACTCGTGGTAAGTCCATGTGTGTCAGAGTAGAAATGTTTCTTATAGGGTTTTCAATAGATCTGTTCTGGAAAGAGATTACCAGAACTTTCTTCTAAGGTGTCTCCGGATAGACTGAACCTCCAACCCTTCAACTGTACCCAAATACTTTTCCCTTTCCTTGGGTTCAGGAATATTGTAAGTTCTTTTCTTCAGGCCCAAGGAAATTGAATGTGTAACTAAGTTTGGGAATATTAAATACTTAATGGTTAAGCACTTGTATCACTGTTAAATTTCCCCAAAATCAAGTTAGATGGTTAAATCTTTTTCAAAAGAGGATCTTCAAATGAAAGCTTTCTTTGTAATCATATCTTTGTAGTGGGACAAGCAGGTATATATTTAGCTATAATATGTTAGCAACAGTTAAGCCTTGTCAGCTAGTAGCCATGTGACCTTAGACCTCAGTTTCTTCATAAGCACAGTAGGTGTAATAGGAGTATCTTCCTATAAGGTTTTTCCTGACTCTAAATGACTTGATTCTCAGAAAGGGTTTAGCATTGTTTCTAGAACTCAGTTTTAGCCATTGTGTATCATATTACGTCCACTCTCTTGGATTCCTTGGGTGATGTAAATGTTCAGTGTTCAACTACTATCCGGAAGGTTGGTCACTCAAATCCACCCAGCGGTACTTAGGAAGAAAGGTCTGGCAATCTACTTTCGAAAGGTTCAAACTGACCTTGCAATTCGAACTGACCATTTGGTCCAGTGCTTACCCTAAAGCACCACACTAGGATTCCTACAGATATCAGTAGGAAAATCCATTCTGAATGCGACTGCCGGACATCAAATAGGTGATGTAGCCGGGCTCCTGAAGTTTCCTTTTGCTCCCTTTCAACATGATCATGCAGCATGGTTAGCTTGAACCCCTCGAGTACAGCCCAGTCATTTGTATGGTATCTCATAGGAGTCAAACCCTGTGGAGCCTTCAGTGGGCTCAGGACACCAGGAGCCCACTAGCTTTCCCCAGCTCTGGCTTCTCATGATTTTGTTTTGGTCCATGACAACTTCATCTATATTTTCCAGATAAAGCATGTCCTCTATAGTGCTGCAGCCCTGGGTCTCCACTGCCTGCTAGTCTAACTCAGCTGAGGAGCACTTCTACCCTGCACATGTGGGGGCACTATGAGTCAGAGCGACAGCTAACAACAATAACTAAGTATTTAGAATTGATTATTTAATCCTTACAATAACCGGTGGTGGTGGTGGTCGTTGTGTGCCTTCAAATCAGTTCTGACTCAGAGTGACTCTGTATAGGGTCTCTGAGGTTGCAAATCTTTACAGGAGAAGAAAGCATCATTTTTATGCCACTGAGCAGCTGGTAGATTCGAGCTGCTCATCTTGCAGTTAGCAGCCCAATTGGTAACTCACTATGCTACTGGAGTTCCTTTTTTATAACAGTCTAGGAAGTCACTATATATATATATATATTTTACCAATTTGCATATAAAAAAACAAGCATAAAAAGAGGTTCAGTTCCTTGCCCCCCAAATAACTAGAAGTGTCTTTCAGACTCCAAAAGTCATGTTTAAATTAAGCATTGCACCCTGCTGTTCTCTGGGTATGAATGTGTGTGTCAGGTCAGGGACATGCACATGAACTCTAACCCTCTACCTGTGCCTTCTGTCTTTGAGAAATAGTCAGTATCCACTCAAGGACATGTTGGATAAATGTGTTTCCTTTTGCTTAGCTTTGCTGTCAGCCACTTTAACTTCTTGGTTAAATAAAATATGAATCATATATTGATTGTAAATTAAATGATTTCTACACGCGTTACTTTCTTGGACGCATAAGATAAACAGACACTTTTTCTGTTAGCTGCTGATTTTCACTATTTTCCCAGATGTCGAAAGTTTCTCCCCCTGCCTTAATCTCCAGAACTGAACATCAACTTCACTGTCAAACAAAAATTTCATGTGTGTATGCAGCAGAGACACATTTCAAGTCATTCTTATTTTAATGACGAAAGTGATATTTTTTATTTCTGAAGCATAGTCCTGGCTGGTAGTTGTTTTGGAGACTCAAACTTGGGGAGGGAAGAATAGCTTTTTGGGGGCTGTGTGTAAAAGGATAATTTAATGAGTAGTATGAAAATAGTCCTGTCCTCCTGGTTTCTAGGCGCCTAGCCACCTCTCTGAGTTTCTCTGGCAGCAGAGTGTTTAGTTCCTCCTTCTTACAGACCTCTCTGAAGTGGCCACTCTGGTTTCCCAGGCTCTTGGAAAGCTGCCCACACTATGGGTACTTCTGCCTCCCCCACTTCAAAGCACTAGCTTTGGTTCCCTCCCCATTAGTCAGTTGAAGCTTTTGCAAACAAATCGAGGACTTTCTTCTGGAAACATGTGTTTCTGGCTCCGTATCATAAAAGCCCAAGAGGAAAGCATGAAAAGACTTCATGATGTTCTTGGAAAGGTCCCTGAGAGGCACAAATAGTTTGCACCAGACTACTGACCTAAAACACTCCTGGTGTGGTGTTGTTGGATAAGCACTGAACTGGGAACCAGAACTTTGGCAGTTCAAACCCACCAGCTACTCTTCAGAAATCCTATACAGGGTCACTATGAGTCAGAACTGACTCAATGGCACGCAACAACAACACTAACCTAAAGGAGTCCTGGTGTGGTACTATAAGATAAGCAGTAGTTTTTTAACCACAAAGTCAGTGGTTCAAACCCACTAGCAGCTCCTTGGAAACCCTATACAGGTCCACTGTGAGTTGGACTCAACTTGACAGCACTTAACAACAACAACAACAACATTTACCGAAAGGGTTCCAGTTTGAACTCACCCAATGGCGCTGCAGAAGAAACCCCCAGAAATCTGCTTTAGTCAAGATTGTTGTTGTTGGGTGCCATTGAGTCAGTTCCTACTCATAGTGACCTGTGTAGGGTTTCTGAGCAGTGGCTGGTGGGTTTCAACCTTGTGGTTGTTGTTGTTGTTGTTGTCAGGTGCCATTGAGTTGGAACCGACTCATAGCGACCCCATGCACAGCAGAATGAAACAATGTCCGATCCTGGGCCAACCTCAC